TGCAGCCAGATGCTGCAAAACTACTTAGCATCACTCCAGACTCCAGCCTGTACTTTAACGGTGACATATCGGGAAAGCCTGCAGCAAGTTAAAGAGACAAGAACCATGCTCAGCGGCAGATACATTTTTTCACTCTACATGCTGGATGTGAAAATATGCCAGGTGTCACCCGGGGTGATAGTGCTCGATGGATGGACAATTAGCAAAGCATATTGGCTGGTTCAGACTTGGCTTTCCCTGAAGTCAGCAGTCCTGCTCTTGTTTAAACCAGGAGTTAAGTTTGAATTTCTGCTGATAAATTTTAAGAAAAATCTCAAGAGGTCTTGTTTTGTTACAATTCATTCACAACACCTTCCCACTAGCTATAGTTCAGTGTCTCTTGGAGCTGAAGTTTAGGTTACAATGACGAGGTGGGGTCTGAAAGAGGACACATCTGCTTTACTCTGTCTAGATTTACTGAACTCTCCCTGTAACTGCCTGTATGATATATGTCACACGTTATGACACAAAGGTATCTTCCCATGACCAGTCCTGCTCCAGTGGGGAGTTTGGGGAGTGACACTCTGAGATAAAACGGGAGGCCTGGCCTGTGCCCTTCACACCTGCTTGATAAGCAGCTGTCTTGTGCTTTGCACATCTGCCCAGCCTAGGACTGGCTTGCCCACGGTGATCCTGGCTCAGCCACACTGCAGAGAAACTGCACAGGCATTACTTACAAACCAGGGACTGTATGATAAGCAAATGACTTGCATGTTGTGAAGCCCAATACTGGTTACATGTAGGATGGTATAAGATAGCAGTGACTATAAGACTTTAAGAAGCACAATAAATACACTGCAAGCCCTTTTCTATAAATGCAGACCCTGTGCTCCCCTCCTCTAGCAGTACACAGAGCTCAAAAATATGAATGAACTAAAGCAATTTGAATCCTATTTGGTTGTTTGGCTCTGATGACTCATCTTCCCTGCGCTCTCCTTAGGCTAATGACAAGGAAACAAACACAGGCAGAACAATACTGGACTTGGCATCATTCTGGCAAAGTTGCCATGCCCAGGATTTTGTCACTAGGTACTACTTGCACTTCTTGTGTTGCCTGTGCCCCAAGTTAGAATTAAAGATTTAATAAGCAACTAGTCTGCTTTGCCCTTGAGTCACCAATAATTTCTACTTGAATCCTGGGACAGCCTAAAATTTTACCCAAATAAATTTCTGAGAAACTTGCTGTCTGATGGAGCTTAAGGCAAGCAGGAGGTCAGGGCAGCTCCTGTAGGCTCTCTCCTTAAATTTGGTGGATCCCCCTTGAGCGGCGACCCAAGATGCTCCACACAGAGCAGAGCAGTGTGCTTGGTGTAAAATCCAAGGGGTAGCCCCTGGGGATGCTGCGTGCTGAGCCAGGTACTCCCACTCAGGAGCGGTGATGTGAATTGGTGGCTGCGACCCCTCTAAATCCTCTGGGTGGAAGGAGAAAAGACAGTGATGCTCCTGAGACGCGGCCAGTAGTGGTGCCAAGTGCACAGAGTAAGAGTCACTGATGTCCATCCTGCTCTCAGGGACTGCCCTCCTCTCTCGGGAGCTCCTGCCCTTGTGAGCCCAGCCTGGCATCCCATCCAGCATTTCGCTTTTGAAGGAACAGGGTGACACACAATTATTAAATGAAATAGGGGAAACGTAAATGTCGTAAGCACAGTTTTATGACCCTTGGATGTGATTTTTGGGTGACAGACTACATTTCTTAGCCTGGTTTGAATACCTGTGGGCCTGCAAGTTGTCTGTTTCCTCCACCTGTGCTGACTGCCCTATAAAGGTACCTTCACCTCTCCTCACAAGCTTCTGGGACCCCACCGCCAGAAAGCGGTGCCTCCCCGACCTCCTGCGAGGGTTTTCCATCCTTCCTCGCCCACTCTCGCAGCCGTCACAGCAGCCGGCGATTTGCCCGGCAGGGGAAGGAGCCCGGCTGTCCCTCAGCAGAGGGGGGGGCTGCTGCTGCCCCCCCACGTGGGGTGACGCCGCGACACTGCCTGACTTTTCGACGCTGATGCCAAAGTAAATCCCCCGGTACCACGGTCCCTCCGCTGGAAAAGCCGCGCCCGGCCCCGGCCCCGGGAGGACGCGGGCGGCTGTGCCGGCCCCC